CTCGGTGGAGTGAAACTCGGCCGTCTGCTCCTTGCTATCTAAAATATAACCGGACGCTGGCGTAGATTCTCGACCGTCTCACACTTCTGTTTAATCAGTTTTGTGTTTGACGTTTATTCAGCTGTGTGAAAACCCTGGAGGAACCCACCCGATGATTAATAAAGCTTTATTTAATCTGAGCTAATAACTTTAATCTCAGCCAAACCGATTTACTCAGGAACAAATAAAACACTGAAAGAAGTCAAACAATAACATTTTAAGTTATCTAAGTGACTTATATATCATGTTTAACCCGAGTAGCGAAAGACCGTGGGGCGTTGAAAACGATGTGCCGGGAGTTTGCTGTTCTCGCCGGCTCAGCTATTTGAAGTTTACACAGCTACATTCTCGCCTGAAAATATGTTAAAAGTTTATTTTGCGACCAGAAAGAGTAATAAGAGTAATATTAAAACTAAATAGCTGCCGCCATTGTTGGAAACTGGAATTGAGACGCCATGAATTCTGGGATATGGTTTTTCATTTTTGGGAGAATGGAGGCTCTGGGAGATTTTCGGGAGGGGCATTGAAATTCGGGATTCTCCTGGAAAAATCGCGAGGGTTGGCACGTATGTCTATGAGAGTGTGAAAAGGGCGCCAGTTTAACTCAGGCGACCACATGCCATACGGCTGAGAGCAGCCAGCCCGGGTTCAAGTCCGACCTGGGGCCCTTTGCCGCATGTCTGCCCCCCTCTCTCTCTGCCGCCGCTTTCCTATCGTCTCTTCACTGTGTCTATGAAATAAAGCTGAAAAAGGCCAAAAAATATTTAAAAAAGAAAGAGTGTAAAAAAGGTCTTCAATGAGACAGTTTCTTCACATCGAACAACAACCCTCCCACCTCTGTTTCTACCACAACAATTTATAATGACGTTCACAGTTAGAGGCAAAAACAGACGATAACACTTTAGGATAATGCAATTTATTTATTGGTTATTAATTCTCATTGCAGTCAAGTTTAAAAATGATCATTAACAGGTAAGAAAGAATAATTGGAGTGAAAGTCTTAAAATGAAAATAATTTCTACTTGAACATTAAATGATCAGATTTCATACAATCGTAAAATCCTGATCCACGCTCAAGTTGATTTTGTTCAGATGAACAAATTACAATCATGATTAATCTGAGGCACAGAGGTGCAGCATGATTTTGTTAAATAAGTCTCCAATCAGTCAGTTTGTCTTATCTTCTGAACATTAATTAGGTAAAAAGAAAACAACTTGAGAATTTGTGATCTTTTATGTAAATTAATATGATCAACAGCTCCACTAATACCAGTATTACTGCTTCATTTAGTCATTTATGTCCATGCAGTAAATATTTATGAGTGCATCAGAATTACTTGGCGTTATTCTTGTTGTTCTCAATCACGTGAACAATTAGACTTGCACACATTTGATTTCTTTTGTTTTTTGTTTTTCTGACCAATCACAGTATTGCACATGTTTGTGGTATTTTAGCTCCCAGCCCCTGCAGGTGCCGCACTCGTTTCTCCCAGCCTGGGCTGGCCTCTGATTTCTCTTCCTCGATCAGCATGTCGATGTATTCTGAGGTGGACAGAGGATCTGGCTTCAGTGCTATCTGTTTAAGCGTGTCCTCACACTTACACGACATTTTCGCCAATTCCGTCACATCAGGCAGTTTATCAGAAAATACACTTTCCAGTTTTTTAACCAGAGCCTCAGCAGTCATCTTATCATCGGTGACACCGATGCTTTCTTTCAGCTCTCTGACTGATTGTTTCCGTGTATCCTCTCTATACTCCCATTTTTTCTTCTCGTTGACATGCTCTTCCCACGAACATTTGCTTGGGCACACAGTGCAGCATCCATTTGAATCCATTGCAGCACAGCAATTTTCAGCTGCATCCTTTTTCACAGGACAGGGATAATGACATGTAAACTCACACTTCTTACAGTTGGTACTGAAATTACCAGCATCCTCCTGCTTAGGGTTCATGACTGTAACTTCAAACTCGGCGTTCTCATTTTTGTTGATCTGCGCCTCAAACTCTCTTAGTTTCTTAGTCGTCTCTTTTAGCTCCCGAAGCCCGACTGACCGCAGTCTGCTTAATTTCCACCAAGCTTGTCCTACTATTTCATGCTGGCTTCTTTGATTGAGGACCTCGTTGGTCTGTTTCAAGCTTTTTGCTTGTGTGACTTCTACAGAATCAAAAAAACTCTTCATGTTGTTTGTGCTCATTTCCCAAAACATCTGACCAAAGTTGTCCTCTTCTTCATCTTCGTAAACAGTGTCGTCATTCTGAGATGATCTGTTGTGTGCAAACAAGGCTGAATTATTAAATGTGAAGTGAACAGGCAGCCCATCATCAGCTGTAGGTAATGGGACACCTGAAGCGCTCACTGCATCTAGAACTGGAGGTCGCTGACCGTCTGCAAATGTCACCAGGATCCTGATGTTTTCTGCCACATCTTTGCCAAAGATTGAGAGCACTGAATCAAACACATATTTCTGTGTTGTGGATCTCACTTGAGCAGCCTGAGCTACAAAACACACAGCATTGATTTCAGTGACACCGTGCTGAGCAGAGAAGAGATTACGTATCTGCTCTGTGATCTCTCTGTCTCTTTCTATGCTTCTTGTACCTCCAAAGCCTGGAGTGTCAATAATGGTCAGAGAGAACGGGATTTGAAATCCATCCTGGTGGTTGATTTTGTAAACAGTGACTTCAGAGGTCTGACTGTGAGCTCGTGATGTTGACTGATCCTCATTAATGAATTTAAACCTGAAACTGTCCTCCCACTCGACACCAACAATGTAGTTGATCATCCCATCGATCAGAGTGGACTTTCCTGATCCAGTCGCTCCAAAAAGCATTATTGTACGACTCTGCCTCGTGCTTTCTTCTCCAAAGTTAAACTTCCTGCATCCATCTATGTTCATGTGTTCTTCTGTCAGAGACAGTTTGTAAACTGAGGAGGAATCAGATTTGATCGTTTCCTTTTTATCTTTGAGAAGTTCTGCGAGGCGTTTAAATGTTGTGCAGACTTTAACAGTGATGCTTTCTTTGCTTCTTCCAGCTGAACCACAATCACATCTGACCCTGACTGCATATTCTGTATCTGTCTGAAGACCTGACAGGATCACCTTTTCACCTGCTGACTCTTTTTGGTTCCACTGCAGAGCTTCCTCATTATCATCTGTTTTTGAATACTCCACAATGTAGCTCAATATCTGCACATCCTCTCCGAGCTCAGCAGGTTTCTCCCAGCTCACTGATATCTCAGTTAAATTTGGTTCAAGTCGAGGTTTTCCAGGAGGGCTGCAGGGTAAAGTTTTAATAGAAACTTGATTATCCGGCCCGACACCTGCTGAGGTCACTGCTCTGCATCTGAACACATACTCTGTGTTTGGCTTCAGATCTCTCACTGTGACTTCTTCAGCCTTTGCTTCTGTCTTCTGCTGCCATCCATCCTCTCCACTGACACAGTACTCAACAGAGTAGGAGGTGATGTTCTCTGCTCCAAATCTGGGTGGAGAAATCTTCAGTGTCACACTGTTGTGGTTTATGTCAGCTACAGTCACAGTTTCAGGCTTTGAAGGAGGCTCAAAGTTCTCACTGACAGCAAATCCACCTTCATAAAGGTAGATGCTGGAACCTTCCTGGGTCTCATTAGTTAACCCCACTGTCAGGAACTTCATGTTCTTGTTCTCCTCGTTGGCCTCTGCAAAATCACTGAAGAGTTTTGCTTTCCTCCTCATTTCAGCCGTTACTTCTTTTGAGGCGTACCATTGTTCCTTCTCTACATCATGAGTGTGAGGATCTTGAAGGTCTGGGTTGGTTTTTCCTTTTAAGTATCTTGATAAAGCTGAGAGGTACGGTTCATCCTTTCCCAGAGAGGTGAAAACAAAACACACAACATGCTCTGCACTCAGACTTTCCTTGTACAGATCATTTTGAGACGAGGTGATTTTGGTGTTTTTCATCCTGCTGGTAAAAGACATTAAAGTGTCAACTTCTCTCTCTTTACAGTCCATCCACTCGTTCAGGTTTTTGCTGCTGAAAGGTGAAGAATGTCTCTTCTTCAGGATCTCTGCAAGCTCAGCTTCCTCTTCTCCTCCTCCTCGGATTGATGGAAGTTTCTTGGCCAAAGATTTTTGGAAATCCAGCTTGAACTCAGAGCACATTTCTTTAAAACTTTTAAGCTTTTTATCAATCTGTGGGAACTCCTTTGCAGTGCTGGTTCCCAGTACATCATTGTACCTCATTTCCAGCTCACTGAAGTCCTCCAGTGCACTCTGTGCTTCTTGAACTAATCCTGTACTGATCTGACGGACGAGTTTAGCAGCAGAAGAATCTAAAACTGTCAGTGGCAGCAGCCAGACCTTCACCGGTACAGTATTTTCTCCATTGGGTCCCAGTAATCCTGACAGACCTTGGCAGGCCTGTATGGCATCTTGAAAGTTTGTTGGAGTTTTTGGGAGGCGAAAGTCTCCATAAAATTTACAAGATAATTTATCAGCTTTTTGTTTGTCCTCTTGAGTCAGTGACAGAGAGCCTTCACCTTCTATAGAAATTAAGGGAATCTTATTGATCATCATCTTCAAGCTGCCCTGTATTTCTTGATGATCTTCGTGTTCAGAAACTTCACGGTCAAACACAAAGAAAGCTTGTGCTCCATAAAGAATAGCTGTGACTACATGTGTTGCTAAGCCTTGATCAAAAACATATGGATGCTTCACGTTTCCTCTTCCAAGATGATTCATGGACAGCTCCTGGATCTTTGTGGTTGCCTTGTACTTCAGTGTTACTCTGGCCTGATTTCTGGAAGATTTAGTATCTTTCAGATATTTGGCAGATCCACTAACCTCAATAAGTCCACCCAGGAAACTGGCCTTTAGTGACGCACTAACGTTTAGAGCTGAGGATTTCTCCTGAATTGATTCAGATGAAACCATTTCAAAATCACTGTATATCTGAGGCCTGTCTCCTCTGTCTTCCATCAGGGCATCACGATCCCACAATGTGATTCCTGCAAAAAAAAAAAAAAAAAAAGACACAAAAATCTAGTTGAACTCATCGATTCATTCAGAAAGTAAATTTAATGTGAAGGCCTCACGTGTTGGATTGAAATTAATGTATTTTTTTTGTAATTAGTGGTAATTATTCATGAAATGCAGTGTGATCTTCTCCTAGAGAAACAATGTGATTAAACTAAAATCATGGGATTTCCTCGTCTTTGTAAATGGTGTAGACAATCTGAGATCATTTATTGTGTGCAAGCAGTATGGAGTTATTACATTTGAAGTGAACTGGCAGCCAGTAATCTATATCATCACTGAATATATTAAATTTGCTCACAGGGAAATGGAGGTAAACCTGTTTGCTAAGGATTTCATTAAAAGCTACTCAGTCAGGTGTTCCAGTGAAGCAGAGCAAAGCTTCCTGTGGATGAAGCCTTTCCCCCCAAACTCTCCTGATTGACCTCCCCTTTGTCCCCCCTATAGTTCCCTGTTCAAAAGCCAGATCTCCAACGAGTATTTCTGTGGTTACTAAATGGTAAACAGAACTGAAAAAACAGAATTCTGTGTTACGCTCAGCTCTGTCTTCACTGTGACAGGAGGTGATCCGTGCAGTATCTGTATCATTACAGCCCCAGTCCATCTGTCAGTCTCCTTCTTCCCTCGTTCAGAAGACACTTACACTCCTCCACTTGGGGAAGCAGCTCATCCCTAACCCAGAGTGGGCACTCCACTATTTTCCAGCTGAGGCCTCAGACTTGGATTTAATTCTCATTCCCGCTGCTTCACACTCAGCTGTGAACTGCTCCGGTGCGAGCTGGAGGCCACGATCATGTTCTACTTTCAAATATCCTGGAAGCATGAGTAGTGTGAGAGTAAAGTGCTCTATTGAGGTGATACGGTACTAAGTGGTCTTTAAGATACTACAGGGCCTGATTGTTCAAGCCCTTGTATGTGTGGGGAATTTAACCAATGAAGAGCAGCCAATATGGCAGAAACGTGCTCTCTGTTTCTCGTCTGTTTGGTTTATAGACAGAAGAAATCTGAATAAAATATCACTGGAACTAAGACAAAGACTAGACAACATTTCAAGTAGAAACAATACAGAAATGGTGTTAACTGAAAAGAATTCACTTTTTTCTTGCAACTATAAATGCCTATCCCAGGGTAAGAGGTGGGGTTCACCCTGGAAAGGTCGCCAGTCTGGGCAGGACTAACACAGAGAGACAGACAACCAGTCACACCTATGGGCAACTTAGAATAATCAGTTAACCTGCCCTCATAGATTCAAACTCAGGACCTTCTTGCTGTGAGGTAACAGTGCTAACCACTGTGCCACCATGCTTCCTAAACGGATTACTATTAAACAAAGCAACAACAACAACAAAAAAACAATGAAACTTTGCTTGTGACATGTAAAGACGTAAAGAACATGTAAAGAACTTTAAAGATGAAATCTTACCAGGGACAAGTTCATCGCTGCGGCAGTCGTACAGCATCCCCAGGCCAAAAGGCCGGCCGAGTGCTGCCAACTCCATTCTACCACCAGAATTAGAGTCCATGGCTCAGTGTGAACTGGAAGTAATCAGAAACAGCTTATCAGTTCTCTGTTCTCACTTTCCTGTTGTCATGTGACACTTTGTGGCAGGCAGGATGTAGGACCCAAATGCAGGACTCAGGACACGGAGGGATGAACTAAAGGAGGCAGCTTTTATTGGCTTGTATGAACTCAAACACTAAATACAAGGAACAAAACAATAACTAGAAACTAGAAAACGAGAAACAAATAAGTTAGAAACAAGGAACTGACGAGAAGCAACAATAGGAACCAGGAGCACTGAGAGGGTATGACGTGACAATGACGGAGGAAAACACCGGGCTTAAATACACCAGGGAGTAACGAGGGAATGGGAAACACAGCTGGGACAAATCTGACTTAACGAGACGGAAAGGAAGCAAAACTGAAAACATTAACAAACAAGGAGACTTGGCTGACAGTACAGACAGAGCAAAGATGGAGCACAGAGACAAGATTAACAAACTGCGACATGGGGACATGACTGAGTGGGGAGACACAGGAGACGCTAGACAAGAAACTAAACAAGGGACGTGTAACACAGGGAAGACTTAGAGGCAAAAGCAAAGAACTCGAAAACACCAAAAGATATAACCAGAAACAAACCCAATCAAAGAATATTAATAATCAACAACACTGGGTCACCAAAGTCAGGACCATGACATCTGCTGCTGTTTATGTTTTTCGTTGTCTGTCCTTGAGGATGACCAAACCAGAAATTCAGTTTGCCACGTCACTTTTGACCATTTAGGATTTTCTTAGTTTTAGTGTTAGGGAAAAATGTGTATTTCCTGACTCATTGAAAAACGTGAGCTTGCTGGTGTCCAGGTTGTAGCCCATCTCTCGCTTGATGGCAGCTGGGGTCGACACCACCCCCCCAGCAACCCTGAATTGGATAAGTGCAAGAAGATAGAAGGATGGATGGTATCTGTGCGAGTAAATGAAAGTTAAGTAGAAGCACTGTATGAATGTGTGTGTGAATTAGAAAGAAACTGCTTTGACTGCTCACACTGAGTAGAAACAATACTGAAAGTACCATTCAATTTACATCCGTCTTGATTGCATGCTCAATCATCCAGGTAAGTAAATCTCCAAAAGTTGATTCTGTTCACCTGGACGTAGCGTTTTGTGGGAGAAACGTTTCATCATCATCCAAGTGACGTCTTCAGTCTCAGCAGGTTTCTCCAATCTTATAAACAGGACATTTGCATAATGACTGAAACCAGCCCACTGGAGGAACAATGGGCTGGGAGGTCAGTGGGTTTTGGTCAGTGGTTGTTGATCAATGGTCATGAGAATTTGCATAATTAAGATTATGGAACTGGCAAACTGGCTGGACCAGGTGACCCTGAATCCTCCCTTAGTTATGCTGCAATAGACGTAGGTTGCCGGGGATTCCCATGATGCATTGAGTTTTTCCTTTCCAGTCTCCTTTCTCACTCACTATGTGTTAACAGACCTCTCTGCATTGAATCATACTTGTTATTAACCTCTGTCTCTCTTCCACAGCATGTTTTTATCCTGTCTTCCTTCTCTCACCCCAACCAATCACAGCAGATGGCCCCGCCCCTCCCTGAGCCTGGTTCTGCCGGAGGTTTCTTCTAGGGCTGGGTTTTGATAATCGATTTATCGATTAAAATCGATTCTAGCTTGGATAACATGATATCGATTCATTAAAATCCTGAATTGATTTTTTAATATAAATTTATTTTGCCCGAAACGCCAGAATCTCAGGTTAAACCTCACAAAACTTCAACAACCACCAAACAGCTAAAACCGTAAGTGAGAGCAGGAATACAGATTCTGCACAAAGACGTAAACACAAAGCGCGGACCCGTGGATCAGAATCAGTGAGATGTGACTTTCTCACCCGATGGCATGGACATGGTCGGGGCTGAAAGCTGACAGCTCGCTGATTGTGATCCGTCGGCCGATCCGTGCTTTGTGTTTACGTCCTTTTTGCGCTGATTCTAAAGCTGTTACGCGTCGGGAGTGAGAACGGGTTGACACTTCATGCACAGCTCTCTCTCTCTCTGTACTTCAAGAACAGTTTCCTGCCTAAATCTCTGTTTTCTGCATTATTCGCTTGCTTGTTACGCACAAGTCTACCGTTGTTTACAGCACTGTCGGACGCTGTTTTTTTCCCTTTTACTTACTTCCGAAAAGAAAACCTAATTTCTGCTGTTCGATAGGGTTTGAACAAATGTAAACTTTTTAAAATTATGCAAAATGCAAAACGCTTAGCCGTACTTCTAAGTTATTGTTCGTGTGTTGATTAATGGTTTTCTTTCATTTTTGATCTACTGCAGAATATTTTTATAAAATCCAGGCCAGGAAAATGACCTTCATGTTTTTCTGTGTTTTATCTTCAGCTGCTTTGACACAAAGGCCTCTGCTGTGATGCTCACACCTTTGATAAAGTCTGGAAAATGTCAGCTTCCTTTTTATAGATACAAAAATATGTAAATGTACTGAACTGAATTATAATATTTCTGACTGTCTGAGGCAAAATTTCCCAGATTTAAATCGAATCGAATTGAATCGAATTGGGACCTTGTGAATCAGAATCGAATAGATTTTAGAAATCAGTGACGATACCCAGACCTAGTTTCTTCCTGTTAAAAGGGAGTTTTTCTTTCCCACTGTCGCCAAAGTGCTTGTTCATAGGGGGTCATATGATTGTTTGGTTTTTCTCTGTATCTATTATTGTACGGTCTGCTGTACAATATAAAGCGCCTTGAGGCGACTGCTGTTGTGATTTGGCGCTATATAAAAAAAATTGAATTGAATTAGAAATATTAATCGGGTTCTAGATTTTAAAAAGTGTTTGTTTTACGGTGTCAAATAACTCCTTGCTTGGTCAGATGTGAGTCAGATGTTCTCACTGCTGCTAGTTTAATCAGTCAAAACAAAGTTACTACAAACTATGATATGAATAACAAATATAAATATTAATAACTAGAGTTCTGAAGCAACAGTCCAAAACTCAAAACCCTGGACCAAAGACCCAGGACCGTGACAATTGTAATAAAAAGAAAATGATGAATCTGAAACATAACATTTAGATTCAGTGTGACTTTTAGATTTTGTTGCACTTTCTTAATTGTTAAGTAATAGGAAACAGTCCCTGCTCTAACTGCACCTGTTACTTTAAGTTGTTTAAATTTTCTCCACCACAGTAATCAAGACAAAAACATAAAGTGAAGCAGCGTCGGTGTACTTACAGTAGACAGCTGTGTGATCCTCTGAGGTCTCTGCTCTTCGTTCTCTTTTATATTCACTGTGAGGACAAAAAACCTTCACTGCAAGAAGAGAAAGCAGAAGAGCTTCAGGCTCGTTTCTCAGATTCATGTGTGACCTGTGAAAATACGTGTTCAGTGTGCAGGCAGGAAACCCACAGTACGAGCCTGCAGTCATGCTCACAGCTCTCTGAGGCTCTGCTTACATGACAGCAGGTGGATAAAAACTCTTCCCCTCTATGAGCTGAAAAAGAAGAGAAGTCATTTAAGTGACTTTGAACATGAAACTGTATCATCCAAAGATTCATATTTAAGGCTCCATGCAAAGAAGATGTGAGCATGATCCAGAAACACGTCTGTCTTCTCTGGGACAAAGCTCATATATAATGGACTGAGTGGAAAACATGGCTGCCAGGTCCTCTAGACTAAAGTGGAGAGGGACCATTTGGCTTGTTATCAGCAATCAGCTCAAACACCTGAATCTCTGATAGTATGGAGGCTGTGGAATCTGGAAAGGCTTCATCAATACTGAATACAAAAATACATGAACGAACACCCAGGACTGCTGAGCAGCTGATATCAGATTGGGACAAAGTCCAGCAGCTGCTGTCCTCAGTTCACAGATGTTTACAGACTGTAGTGAAAAGAAGAGATGCTACACATTGAAACATGGGCCTGTCCTAAGTGCTGCTGCTCAACATAAGATAGCATTTTTCTTTCATGTGAATCATTTAATATGTTTCTATAATCTTTTGTGAATCTAAATCGGGTTTAAGAGATTTGAAAATCATTTCACTCTCTTGTTATTTAGTTTTTACGCAGCATCCCAACTTCATTTGTATCAGACTTGAATGGTCCCTGTAACTATAGAATCAACAAGTTTCCATAGTAATTAGTGATGATTGTCGGTCTTGGCTACATCACCGACAGGAAGTGATAAGCGCTAATTCAGCATACTTTTGTGGAAAAGCAGAAGAGCATCAGGCTCATTTCCCTGAGCAGTGTGTGGCCTGTGAAATAAACGTGTCTAATGTACACGCTGAAAAACCAGACTACGAGCCTGCAGTCATGCTGTTCTTTTGTTCTCCGAGGCCTTGAGCTAAATGTTCTAGTATATTACATTAATGTTATGTTATTTATGTGAACATGTAATTTTACTGAGATTTCAGTCTCTTTTTCCAAAGACAGACATGAATAATATGAACACAGTTCATCCACAAGTGTAGCAGCGTGTAATCCTTTAAAACTGACATCAGTAAACTGTGGGGCTTTTTTTTTTTAAGCTATAGGTAAACCACATTTATTGCAGGAACCATTAACACTAAAAAGGCTGAGGATTAATTGAAAATTTGACACAGTGAGCAGGAAAGTGCCCGTGAGACAGCTGGAGATCCACAGACCATCCTGTTAGAGACACAGTAACTGAGTACTAAGAACTGTGTGTTCTTCAGTCTGACAACGTTCGGCCAGGTGAACAGGATGAGGTCTGGACTTTGGGCCGCTGCAACTCATTGGCACTTTTTTTAAGCTGTTCTTTTGGAGATCTGCTGCTGTGCTTAGGCTCATAATCCTGTTGATCACTCAGTTTAGTTAGATGGCCTCACATTTGAATCTAGAATAATTTGATATATGGAAGAGTTCAGTATCAACTCAGTGACCCTCCACCGCCGTGCTGACAGATGCCATGAGGTGTTTGTGCTGATATACTGTTTTTGGGTTTGCT